AGCGCGGGCTCGCTGTCTCGGCGCTCGACTACCAGCGCCTCGTCACGTGAGCTCCGTGCTCCGCCCACTCCGCAAGACGCCGCGCTTAGCAACCGGCCAGCAGCCAAGTTTCCAAGGACGCGCGCGCGTCCGACAGCCGGCTGCTGGAGGTGAGCCGAGGACTCAGACCTCTGACTTCGGCCCGGCGCTGCTCCTCCACGCCTGAACTTGGCAACCCGCCGCCGGAGATGAGCGGCAGTGACTCCTCCCTCCTGGTGCGTGGCCCGGCGCAGTTCCTCTTCGACGCTTCGCCCCCCGCCAGGTGACCCCCAGCCCGGCTGCTCTCCAGCCACCTCCCTAGCTGCTCCGCTCTGTCCTCTGTCCGGCCTGAGCTTGCCTCTCTCCTCCTGAGGAGTGTCTTGCCTGTGGTACCTTCCGGGCATCCTGGGCCCCAGATTAGCGCCCCCTCCCCTACCCGGTCCTGTACCCTGAGGTCCCCCAAAACAAGTCATCCCGTTTCCATTATATTAACCCCCTCTACCTCCTGCTCCAGCGTGTGCGTTGTCTGCCTCCCCGACCTGCATAGATGCCATCGCTATTTGATCTCCTGACTTAAGTTGCACCTCTTCCCCTTACCCATCCTCCAATCCCGTCAATGAGAAATGTCACCTAAATGATTCCAGGCTCACTCACTTTTTATCTGCTAGCCCAGGGCCACCACTCTCTCTCCCCTGATGGGCCACAGCAGCCTCCCCTGGTCTGGTTTCTTCTGCCTCAGCTCCCTTTACCAGCATACTCCCTGTTGCCCACCCCTGTGCACACACACCACCACCCCACAGCAGCCAGAGCAGTTTTTACAAAAACATACATCTGAACACATCCCTCCTCTACTTCAAACCGTTCCAACTGCTTCCTCTTTATTACCTTTAAGATGATGACTGGATTCTTTTCATATGGCCCACAAAGCCTTTACAATCTAACCACATCTGTCCCCAGCCCTAATATCCACAAACCTGAGGGGAAGTGAGACTTGGCTTTGAATCCCTACCCCATTACTGCATGACCTTTGTCAAGCCAGTGTCTAAGGGCTTCAGCTTCCTTAACTGTGAAAGAAATGGAGAAAATCATACCTAAAGTAATGAATTAAATCCCTTGGTAACAGTTCCCAACAGGTGGCAGGCCCACAATAAACTTGTACCTGTGTACTGTTCTTCACTCTTTCTCCTTATTGCCCTCCTAAAACGAAACTTGTTGAATTCTACATCACATTTTAACCAGAATCTGATGGTAAGCCCTAAACAAAGGCTTCACAAACTTGTTCCCAGGAAACTTCACATCGCTCTTCCCAGGACCGCTAAAGGACTGGGTGAAACATGAACTTTCCCCCTTTCTCTTCCTTTTGCAAAGCCTTAGGAGTGGGGGTGGACAGAGAAGGGAGCAGGTCCCCTCCCATCTAGGTCAGAACAGAGACAGGGAAGGACTGGGGCTATCACAGCTGTGTCTTTCTCCATGCAGGCTGGGATCGTGTACTATAGCCGGGAAAAGTATTTCCACCATGTGCAGCAGGTTGTAGCTGTGGGCCTGGAGAAGTTCAGCAATGACCCCGTGTTGCAGTTCTTTAAAGCTTACGGAGTCCTCAGGGAAAGTAAGGACATGGCGTTGTTGGCCTTCTGACACCAGGCACGAACCCAGGGCTAACCCAGCTCTGGCTGCAGCTGGATGCCTACTTATATCTTAGTTGTGTTTCATGGAAACTATTTTACTGAGTATAATACAGACTAATCCACAGAAGCCAAGGCAATCCTTACCTAGATAACCCTTGAGAACTCAGCTCACTTGCTCTCTGCTCCTCAGTTTCCCTCTATAAGATGAGTGGCTGGAGAGATGGCTAATTGAACTAATTCCAGGCTGTAGGCTGGTTGTGCAGGTAAAAGAGGAGGAAGTGTTAGGTGTAATTACAGGCAGGTATGGGAAGAAGAGGGACTTGTGCAGTGCTGACTCACATCAGAGGGTTCCGTGGAGCTGCCTGTGCCAGTATCAGGGAACATGAGGATAAGTGTCCATCATCGCTCTGGAGCACCTAGCTGGGAGTGTCCTGCCCGAGGTCCTTATTTAAAACTAACCACCAACTCCTAGTCCCAGCCTTACAAGTATCCCCACAAGTACTTGAAGGCACATCACTCAGCTTCCAGATACCAGCCCCTGGCAGTCTGGACCATGGTGCTAGTATCCCTTTAGCAGGAAGGGAAGGTAAACTTCAGGGAATCTAAGCTATAGGGACCTTTTGGCCCAATTAGTCCCCAGATGCTGAGTGAGAGCAGGTGGTGCAAGCCATGGGTCAGCCCTGGTAGGAATCTGTGTATTGCCAGTTTCCTGCCCTCTGGGCCGAAGCCTGAAAGCATAACTGTGTGGACTCTGCAGAGCGTGTCCAGGATGCCATCAGCGAGCTGGAGAATATCCGCAGTCACCCAGACCTGTCCCTGTGCTCTGCCATGGCCCTCCTTTATGCTCACAGATGCTGTGAAACCATCGGTGAGTACAGCCCCTCTGAGCCAGGCCTCGCCCAGCAGGAAGAAAACGCACTCCAGAAACACACAGCCCCAAGGTCGCTGATGGAGGACTGTGAGGAGAGGCTGCTGCGGCTCCTTCCCCCAGGAGCCTCAGAGAGGACCTCATGCCAAGGCCCAGTTAGTAGGAGCCAGCAGAGGGTGTGAGGGCTTCTCCTTCCAGATCCCAGGAATTGGGGAAGGTCCTTCATTCTTTTGCCAAGATCTTGTCAGAAAAATCAAGCCCATATAAATAATGTCACCCCTAATCTCCATGTCTCTAGAGTCAGGGAGAGGAGCCAGGAGAATGTACAGCTGTCTTCTGCCCACCCAGCACGAGTTGTGGGCCTGTGACCAAGGATTCCCACTAGTTCTGTTTGCTCTGCACACTACTGGCACAGAGCAGAAATGGTAAATCTCAGGGCAGACCGTGTCTAGGCCCCAGCAGCCCCTCCCCGTGGCATTGCAGAGCAGGTATTGCTGGTGCCCAGGCCCTGGCCTGGCCTGTGGTCAGCTGTACATGTTGAAACTGAGCCAGGGTGTTCAGAGCCACTTCCCTGAGCCTGTGGCACCCGTGGAGGAAGCAGGAAAACCTCCTTGTCCTAACTCAGTCTCTTCCTCTGCCCTTGAATTTACAGATCGAGAAGCAATTCAGGAGCTGGAGAGCAGCCTGAAGGAAGTCCGCAGGCTGGCCAGTGAGGCTGCCCTGTACTATGCCGGCCTCTTCCTCTGGCTCATGGACTACCACGACAAGGCCAGGGAGTATGTTGACCACATGCTGAAGGTCTCCAGCGGCTTCAGAGAGGTACCGGCCATCCTGGGGGCAGTGGCTGAAGACAGCAGCATTTATCATAGTGGGGTGGCCCACGACTCCCTCAGAGGGTGCTAGAACTGGGGGAGGGCCGCCCCAGGGTGAGCAGAGTGCATCACCCATGTTGTCCTGCAACACAGTGGCATTCGTCCAGAATCTCATCTCTAGGTTTGCAGAGTCTGCATTATGCTTTTGAAAGAAATCTTGAATTCGTTTGCTGACATTTAGAAATCAGAAAGTTTTTACCTAAAAGTCCACATTTCCTGGTTCTTTGAAAATTCAAATGAGCTGGTCACACAGAGCCATTCCCTCTCTGTGGCAACTCGAGTAGTGGCTCGTGTGCACTGGGGGTGTCATATCCAGTGTGTCTGGGTCGACGTACAGTCTGATGCTCCAGGCCATGAGTTCCTGGCAGAGCTGGGATCGCTTTTCAGGGGTATAAACATCTGTTCTTCGCAAAAGGAATGAAAGAAAAATCTGACTTTTTAATCTAAAAAGCATTGATACACATACACAGTACATAATGCCTAAATATGGCCTATCCGTGACATTAAAATTTCAAAGAGGAGGAGGGCTTGTCTTAAAAAGCTCTTAAGGGAGATATAATGGAAAAAGAAAAACACTGTTAGGCCACCGAGGGACAGGCTTCCAAGTATCCCTGCCCCAGTCTACTTCCCAGGCCTGGCCTCTCCATCTTCCCTGCGAGGCTGGAACCAGCCAAGTCCACAGGCTCAGCAGGGCTGCTGCTCGCCTCTTCGAAGGGCATGCCCGGGCTTCAGCACAGAGCCAGCCCCTGGGCTGGTTCCTGACCCCTCCCACCTAAAGTCAGCGGCAAGTGGTGAGAGGGGGGAGGGCGCAGGGGTGGGTGGCAAAGGGCCACCCAGGCTGTGCTGTGGATTCACGGTGGCAGATCAGGCGGGAGGACCTGGTTTGGAGCAGCGTGAGGCTGGGCCACCTTGGGATCTGCGTGCTTGTGC